ATAAAATTTTTTTTATTTATTGTTTATTATAATAATATTATATCAATAAATACTGATAAAAGTTTTATATTTAAACAGAGTGATTAATGAATTTCAATTATCATAAATGTACTATTTTATTTAATTTCATTTATATTAAGAATTGTTACCCAAATAACTAATTAGTTTTAAAAAAATAATAATTAGAAATTAGAATAAAATATCTTCTTCTATAAATGAAATTAATACTTCATGAAATTTTTCAGAAAATTTAATACTAGCTAAAAAAATGCCGTCAGTTTGTCATGAGTTTTTATAGCTTCAAAAATATGAATAATAATGAATATAATAATGAATATAATATTTTTATAATATATAATATTTTTGTAGTATTTTTTTATTTTTAAAATTTTTTTGAATATGTATAAATAAAATAATGGATACTTGATTTTCAATGAGGATTAAATATTCTTTATATTTATATTTTTTTATTTATTTTACTTATACCATTTAAAATTCAAATTATGTTTAAATATAGTACATATAAAATTATATGAATATGCATATATAAATATAAATATATTTTTTTTTGTATATTTTTATGTATTATATATTTTCATTTTAGATATATACGCAAATATATGTATATCTTATTTTTTATCTTTTTATTTTTTTTATTTTAGACATAAATACAATTCATATTATAATAATGTAAATATAATAATGCAATTTTAATGTAATAATCAGATCTGCTTTCGCAGATAATTTAAATTTACTGCCATTATCAGCAGGAAGAATCATCTTTATACATATATTATTTTGAAAAACAAGAAAAGAATATACAAAATATACAGAAAATAGCACAGAAAATTTAATAATTTTCTCTTTAAAATTAGTATTCCAAATTATGCAAATCAAATAAAATATTAAATCTCTATATACATATCTATCGAAATTCTTTTTATATTATATATTTATTTTGCTTTTTAAATAATTATTTTTAAATAAATCCTTGAAAAAATATATAATATTTTCTTATAAGATACATAAAAAAAAAAATTAAATTCATATATATATAGATTTTCTTTATGTATAAGTCAACGAATCAAGAAACGAAAGTAAATAAACGAAATTACATAATATGCAATTTCTAATTATTGGTTTTGCGAAATTTTAATACTTTTCAGAATTAGTATATTGTTATAAACAATATTTAATATTTTGCCAAATATTTATTTTTATGAAATAAAATTTATGAATTTTTAAATTTATATCATTAATTTATTTATTTATATTAACAATGAATAATTCTATAAATAAATTAATATGAAAAAAATAATTTTCTATTTCATATATAGTGTATCATTATAATTTATATTTGATTTATTGATAATATTGTTGAAATATTTTTTTAAATGTATATACTCCGTATATTATAATTTGATAATTAATTAATACTGATTAAATTTAATATTAAAAAATACATATTAGAAAAATTTATAAAATTTATATAAAATTATAATAGATGGTGTTTTAAGTCGAATAATAAATATGCAATTTAAAATTTCAATAAAATTTCTAGTTATTTTTCATTATTTAGTTATATATGATTGAAATTATCTTATTTTTCATCTATTGATAAGAAACATTAATTTTTTTTATAAATATATAATCTTCATTTTAAATCTTTGTTCGCTTGTAAAATTTTATATTTATATATTATATAAAATATATATAATATTATATAAAATGATAACTTTTTTTATCTATGTTATTATTTATAATATTTCTTTTATAATATTTCTTGTAATTTTCTTTTGAATTTTGTAAAATATTCATTTAGTTTCTAGTTAATCCTAATTTCTTTTCCTTTTCTCCTTTTCTATAAATAATCTTTTCTATTTTTTTCCTTCATCTTTTCCTAAATCTTTCTTTTTCTCTTTTTTTTTAATTTATTTGAAATCTTTATCATTATTCATTATTTGAAATCTTTTTGATCTTAAGTTGTTTCAATTTTTAATTGCTAAGATTTTTCTTTCTTTTCTTTTCTTTTTGCCTTTTTTCCTCCATCTCCAAAAATAAAAATAATATTAGTTTTATATAAGTTGTTATATAAAAATGATGTATTAGCTCTATTATTGTTTTTTTAGTTTCTTTTTCAATTTCATTCTTTCTTTTTTGTTGTTGTATGTTTTTCATGTCCCTATTATCTGATTAATTACTTAATTAATTCTACTTTGCATTTATATATTAACAAATTGTTATGTTCTTTCTGATTCTTTATTATATAATAATTATTTGTTTTTTTTTATTCTTCTTATTTCTTAAATCATTAAGAAACATTAATTTTTGTTTTCGTTGTTTTTTTCTTTGATATAATATTATATAGTTATCTAATCTTTTATTTTGTTTGTTTGTGATTTTTTATATTTTCAAAAGTACTTTTATATTTACTTTTATATTTTTGATTTTTGTGCATATTAATTTCCTCTTTTCGCTTTTTTGCCCGTTCTTTCGTTTTCTATTATTCTAATATGGATTACAATTTAAACAAATTCTATCTTTTTAAATTTTTTTTCTTATTTTTTTCTTATTG